GTAAGTTGATGAGGCATGCTTGTAGCACTGGGCTGCAAGGGTTAAGCAGTTATCTTTACAGATGTCAGTTCTGCTCCTTCTGTGTGTTTTTACACAGCAAGGAAAGGCACTAAGGACTGGGCTTTATCTTGCCAGTACTCTCGAGCTTCTCCCTGGGGTTACTTGGATAACCTGGAGAAAAAGGCTGTTTAACTTGTATGCAAAAGAGTAAATGGGGATGAGGAAGAAACTGGAACATAGGCTTTAGGAGATGGGCATGCAGGGACAGGGCTGCAGAGGCCAGGTGGCCTCAGCTCTACCCCTTCTGAACTTGGCTTTGCAATCTTACGATTTTTTTTTACAGTTATTTAAATAACTTCAGAAAAGAGTGCTTTCATCAGTAAGTTCCATCACTGAAGAGGTTAAAGTTGAAAATCCTGATGAAAGGATGCAACTCTAAGTCCTTGTTTGTTCAGTACTTTCACTGTTGCTCAGTAATCCTGAGTGGTATTTTTTAACCTTGGAAGAAAACCTTTTTGTCCTTTTCAGTTGATCCATTGCATATGACTTTTTTTTTTATTAATTCTTTCTCGTCTCTCGAGTTCTAGCAGAATTGCTTTACATCAGCTGAACTTTTATAACTGTCCATGTGTGTTTTCTTAGTCTAAGGTGAATGTGAGTTTTTTGACCTTTTTCTTTGCAGAGTAAGTCATTTTACCTGGCCTTTGCCGCAGATGCAGAATCTGCATGTGGACAGTGATGAAGGCTTCGCTCAATCGCAGCCTCAGTTCCACCGAGACTGAACTGCGCTGGACAGGATGAAATGTATCAGGGTGGTCTGAGCTGTTCTTAATAGGATTTCTGTCTCCTGAGTGTCATACTGATTTCTTTGACAAACACAAACATTTTGAATAAAATAGCTAAAATTGAATGTTTTGCCTTCCCTCCTGTACTTGCAATTACCAGTTAAACACAGAACTAGAGCTGTATGCAGCCCATCTTTTTAAAAAGTTTAGATTAATTCTCTGTTTCTGTGTGCAAAATTATTTGTACTGTGCTTCTAAGTAGCTAGATGCTAAAAGAATAGTACTAAAGTCATCAGTTAAATTGTTTATGGGTAGTTTGGAAGGATAAAACCAGTGATCCAAGTTAATTCCTGCATTGTTGATTTCTGATTAGTAGCATAAGGGGAAAATTTTGCGTGTTTGCTTATATATAGCTGTATTGGCTACAGATGCAAAATGCAATTTGAAAACTTGATAGATATTATACACTGTGCTTTATGATGTTTTGGGTGGTCTTCATGGAGTTTACAGACTTTAAACAATGCATTTCTTACTTGCCGCATGGTAGCTGAGTTTCTGTTGGATATTTGGGAGAAATTTCCATGCTTATGGCAGCATTGAACTTGGCACAGGATTTGCATCATTTATAGAAATCACTATGCTTGGCTGTACTTCTGGTCATATAATCCTAATTACATGCTTTATTATGAAATTGTTGTCAGTTATTAGATTCTTACTCAATTCTGATCTTCCTGGAAACGTAGAAATGCATTTTATTTCTGACCTAAGAAGACCTCTTGTTCTTAAGGCTTCATGATGAAGCTTCATTTCCCATGTTCATGCATTTCTGTGCTTCTATACACTCCTGTACCACGTTGTCAGCTGAGATCTGTAGCTTCCTAGCACAAGTGAGTGTGTGGTCGTTTGATTGCCTTACCCTTTTTAAATACTGTTGCTTTTATCCCTCATGGGCCTTTCAGTCTCTTATGGGCGGACAACATAAAGCCCTGTTCAGATTTTTCCATTATGTTCTTCTAATGGAAGATGCAAAGTTCATTCGTTATTACTTTTACTCATTTTTGGCTTAAAAAAAAAAAGTAATAAAAAATCCTATCCCACACAGCCCTATAAATGCCTTGTCTGGAGATCAGTGGGTCAGACACGGCCTGAGCTGGATCAGACCTACCAGCCTGGTTAGATCTGAAGTGAGTTCTCCAGGACCACACCCAATGGTGGCTCTGCATTGTGCTTCTGTGCAGAGACCCCTTTAAGGGAGGTCATGATGATGATGATGGCAGAGGCCACCATCAAGCCACAGTTAACATGACCAGCTGGTCCTAGGTAGTTCTTGGTGGAGATGCTGGATTATTTCTACCTTGTTCTTTATAGTGATTTTGTTCTGATTTCTTTTATCCCACTGCATGAAAAAAAGGAGAAATGGTTTTGTGTATCAGCTGGTTAACTAAGGCTTGAATCTACGGTGATGGGAGGTGAAAGCAACCTGTAGGTTAGGGCACAGAGAGGTTACATGAGTGCCAAGGCAGACTCTTGCAGCCAGTGTTTTCGAGGGAGGGAAGGTAGGAGTGGGCTTGCCCCTTTCTCTAGCAGTGAGCTGTTGAGATCAGCTCAGTCCATCTCCTGTACTCATCACACTCTGGCCATACTGTTTGTTAGATTCAGTTGTACTTGTCTTCTGATTTAGTGCGACTGTGGTTTATTTTGTTTTAAATTAAATACATTACTCCAGTCAAGGATTGCCTTTTCCTGCAGCTGGGCTTTGTGAATTTGGCTTTCTCCAGGTATTTTGGTTTTTATCTGTCTTTTGTGAATCTAGACTGTGTCCAGCCAGTATGTGGGCTGCACTGTTGTGTGACACAGTGACTTTTGGCTTCTGTTCATAGTCATGCAGCTAAATGAAACTGGGAGTCTGTAAAAAGACTCAGATCTTTGCTAAAAAGGAAGCTAACTTTGAATCTTTAATTTAGAGGCCTCTAGTGTCTGTCTTGGGAGGAACAGCGTGTGATATTAATTTCCAAGCCAGTAGTAATGCTGTGACTTCCAGAAGTCCCAGTGAGTGTGAGATGGCCCGTGGGGAGGGCAGCGTTTCTCTGCCTGCAGTAGTTTGCATGTTTCACCAGCCAGTGAGTGGAAGGAGCGTACATGCTTCTGGTTTGATGTTACAGCCTGAAAGAATAACTTACATTCTACTGAAAATCAAGAACACACCTGTGCTTCTAGTTTGAAAACAGAAATGTTATTTTGTTTTGTTATACTTCATAAGTTTTTTTGGAAAGTGCCTGTTGCAAAATAGTTGGCATATATAATTTTACAAGATGACCATACCACTCTGTTAGTAATCATCAATGAACATCAAAAGTAGCCACTTTAAACCTAGGGAAGGTGAAATGCATGTGACAAACAGAAGGTAAATCTTACGAAACATTGCAATGGAGGTATGTCATCTGTGGCACTTAATGTTTAGTATGTGTGTGTTTTCTGGTACTTTGGTTGCAAATCTCATAAAGAGCTGAGTTAGTAGAAAGCCCAGGATGTTGTTGTAGTTATGAGGTGATTTATCTCTTACTGCATTTCCTCTTGTATTTCCTGTTGGGAAGAAGGGAACGTTAACTCAAATGGAATAAGGCTGATAACAGGTTTGTCAGTGGCTGTAGATGTTTAAAAATGAAAAATAATAAAATAAAATCTCTGTTGCTGTTTGTTCGGTGTGGATGTTGTTTTTGGAAGGAGGAAGGGTTAATAAAAATTGAAGGCGTATTGTTTTTCCCAGAATGGATACTTTCCTATGCACGATTCTACATGTGGAGGAGGTAAGGTTGGACAGGAAATAATTTCTTGTAAGAGAAATAAACTGAGAGGAAGTTATGAGGAAAGCAGCAGATGGGGGAACACAACTGTCAGTGTGGAAGGTGGAGGAGAGATGCACAGGTGCATTTCAACAGCAAGTACAACGGGGATGGTGGGTAGTACGTGGGTGCTGGCAGAGAACAATAGTATATGCCAATATCAAGTGCAAACATGTTCTGCAACTTCTGTTACCTGGGTTATGTCAAACATAATTCTTCCTTTGGCTCGGGAATTAAATCTTGCTGGGATTGAAATCAATGGCACAATTTACACTGGCCTATCTAGTGCAATCATTTTGTCTTAGGTACATGTTTAGACTTTCCTGTTGTGCTGTTAAGCGTTAGCATGAAAAGCTTGTGATCTTCTTGGGTACACTACTGCAGCAGAACTTCTGGTGGTGTTTCATAAGGAAAGCAAACTTCTCTTATTTCCACTGAGCTCTTTCTAAAAGGCTATGAGAATCCTTTTTCTTCTTGTTTCTTTTAATACATCTTAATCCTTACAGAGCTTACTGGTCATCTTTTACTTCTCTGTTTGTATTGTTTTTTTAATTGTATGATAGTGAGACCCAGTGGTTCTCAGTGTGAGGAGGCCCCTGAGCTTAACCCAACGCAAGGAGGGCACTACACCTTTTAGTTTTTCTTGTGTATCTGGTGTTCATTCTAAGCATATTATTTTTTGTATTGAGTATTTGATTTACAAGATCACAATACATTCAAAGATGCTGAATGCAAAGCTTACTTTATACAGGAGTTACAGATGTTCTGAGTGATAACTTTGTTTCTGTAGCTGTTCCCTGTTTGTGGCATAAACTGGGACTTTGTAGTTTGTTATTGAACAGCATCACCTGAACTTGAAGCATTTTTGCCACTATGAGTGACTTTCTCTTGAAGTAGGGCTGCTTGATTACGAAGATGTGGGTTGGAATAGACAAGGAATCAAGAAAAATTTCAAAGCTCTGCCACATCAGGTTCGAGGAGGAGTGTTTGTCATACAAACTACTCGCAAAATGATTTCTGCTGCAAGCAGGAAAGCTTTGCATATCACTGCATGCATGGTTTCAGTAGTGCTTTGCTTTTATGATTACAGATCTCTTCGTTAATTCTAGTGATTTCTAAATTAATGATTACCTACACATTCTCTTGCTTTACTATTTCCTGGAGATTCAGAAGTGTTAATTTGGGAATATCTTGGAATAACAATAATCTGTGATAACAGCTGCTAGCAACTGGAAATTAAGATATAGCTATTTTCAGTTAGAAATAATTATTGTCCTTCCATGAGGACTTGCTGCTTTTTGGTTTTGGTGCCTTTTGCAGAGGAGACACTTGCAGTTTTTATGATATTATGTCCCTTGCTTTTATTTTCCAGAATATGACAAACTGGGCTTTCTCCTGAACCTGGACTCAAAATTGTAAGTAGAACAGTAGTACTCTTCTTTGTTTGTGTAGTTACAGATTTCTGTTGTAAAGCAACTTCTGTGTCACCCGGGTGGTTGGCTCACTGGACTATACACTTCTACCTGCGACAGCCAAGTCCTGCCGCAACCTGACAGTTAACGACTTCTTTCCTTACACTGGTCTTTGCTGGCTGGCTCGGATTGCAGTTCCCTGTCATTAATTCCTTTAATGACTGATCAAGAGGCTATTAATGTCCATCTGAAGCCATGACTTGTCAGTCTGCTCTAGATATCCTACTGTTAATCTTCAAAATGAGGAAAAATGTATTAAAAATTTGAAAACAGGAGGAATGTCAATCTGCAATTTACTAGGACGCTTAGAAGTTTATATTTCCTTTCCACTTGTTTCTTTAAAAATGGATACTACTATTTGAGGTTCTTTCCACTCCAGTTTGCAATACAAGGCAGTGACTGTTTGCTATGTCAGAAGAGCAACAAAGTGCTGACAGATGATACTCATCACACTTTTTGCCATAAATCAGTCAAATTGAGACCGAACTTCTTGACACTAGGGGTCAGTAGCGACTCTGAGGTCAACAGCCTTGTGGAAATTTTGGTATTGGAAGCAAAAAGACTACTGAAAACCTTCTGCCTCTGCTACTCAAAAAGGCACTGAAGCAATCTAGTGGCTTTCAATGAATTGAGGATGCATCTCCTGTACAATGTATCGTGTTAATATAAAATCCATTCTTTGCGTTCAGAAAGTTTCATTGTTCTTATAGGGCATAACATTGAAGTTCTGAGTTTAGTCTTGCTGAGCAGCTTGAGAGCTTCCATAATGAAATAAAAGCCTCTTAAGTGTGTTGGGAACTGCTGTTTGCAGGAAATGAAAAAGTCTCTAGGTAGGAGTTTCTTTTACAGAAGAAGCTGAGTACGTAAGCTCAACTACAGTAATTTATCTGGCAAAAAGGTACTGTAGAAGAACACGTATGAGAGAAAAAAGGATTTTTTTTTAATTTTATTTTCTTTTTTTCTCTGAAAGCTCTGTATCTCATTCAGTGTGCAGGAAGGATGGCATTTACTGCATGAATAGCTGGTCAAGGTTTTTTTCTGGTCTCATTTAATGTAGTGTTCAGTCCAGTTTTTGTTGCATGCTGTCTGGAACCATGCTGGTTGCACAGTTACCAGTTTTCTTTATCAAATTTTCTGTATTGGGACATCTTTGTGATTTAGAGACAATAGTGTATGTATCCCTAAAACACTGGGATGAGATGATACGTTTATCTTCAATTTATAGAATTTATATGTAGAAGTCAAAGCAAAGAGATTAGTCCAAAATTGTGAAGTTGGTAAGTAACCTTTGAGTGAATGCCTTGGTGTTGGTAAGGGAAAAAATTTTTTTAAGTTTTCAAGTAGTCTGATTTTTGTTTTTTTTGCTTATTTTGTAATGTCTGATTTATTGAACACGCCCTTTAAACCACTGCTTCAGTCTTACTCTTCCTATTCCTCCTTCTCTGTTTGCGGTTCTTTTCTTTGTTACTTTTAGCAAGTCCTTTTGAGTCTTTCTTCCCCTCAAGCCTCCGTTACATCCTTTCTTCCTCTTCTTTGCTGACTTACCTACCTTGATTACAGCTCTCTGAGACATGGCCTGTTCTTATATTTTAGTATGAGGCCAAGTGAAGTTTTTACCTGTTGGAGGGCTTCTAAAACCCTAAAATTCTTTATTAAAACCTCTCCATGATAAACACTCTCCACTATTTTTGATTAAAGGAAGATTTTGTTGACTACTTGAAAAAGATATTTGTATAGCACCCTAACTGTACGTTTGCTTTCAAAGCAGATCAGCCATGAAGTTAGCTTCTGGAAAGGATTGTAATAAAATCAGCATGATTAAAATAAATACTATGAGGTTAGGTTAAGGTGCAAAGAAGTCAAGTGAAATCATTTTTTTTTTTAACTATAATTGTCGTTTGTTGGGGTTAGGTTGGGGTTTTTTTGGTTTGCGTTTTTTGTTACTTGTTCGTGTGTGTTTCTTCTGTGGAAGTAAAACTGGCCCTGCTTTGAGGATGGAGAATGGACCCAATGACCTGCAGAGTTCTCTTCCAGCCTGAATTATTCAGATTTGTTTTTCAAAAGCAAGGGAGCCAGAGAAAATCTGAAAATACCATGAAACATACTAAATAAATTTTGAAGGAAAAATGGGTGACGCCTTTAGGAGTTTGCTGCTGTTTCACAAGTTCACCATGTGTGGTCAGGTTTTTAAGTACAGACTGTGAGTTCAGTGGAACTTGGTGGTTAAAAATGCTTTATGTGACTGTTAATCAAGATAGTACCATTGTAGACGCACTTTCTGGTTAAAAAAAACTTGCTCAGGGTTGAAAGGGTTAATATGTTCTGCACTGATGACTTTATTGGCAGAAATAATTTCATTATGTCTGTTGTTGTGATATAATCATTCTGATGGAATCTTGCCACAGATCATAACTTTACAAGGTTCACTTAATTGGCAGCATGTAAGAGTCTTGTGCGACTTGAAGCACTTGGGGCAACAATTAGTTTTTTCTCTTTTTTCCTTTATCTTTCATTTGTTCAAAATCTGTTCCTGGCTATGTTAGTTGATATAATTTAAACTAATGACCTGGAGAACTAACACTTTCTACAAAGGTACATCTGCACTGTGACTTGCATTTTAAATGAACTTATGCAATGGAAAGTGTTTGACGTGAATAAATAGTATAAATAAATGTGTCCGTTTGCCTTTGCATCTTTAATTTTTTTGTTTATTACTGTTTTAGTGTCCTCTACCCTGTAGATGACCGGGGCATGTTATTCAGATATAGTATATTCTGTTGTGATTACAGCAATTAATGTTTCTGTTCACTCGTTCCCTTTGAGTTCATGGAAATGGGAAGACCAGATTTGTTCACTTTGGAAAGCAAACTCTGTCAGAAGTACTCGATAAGCCCTTTCTGTGGGAGCTGTATGTCTGGTGCATGCCTTGCTATAGCATTAGGGAGGCTGGTATGGCCAGGGATCTCACCTGGAAGGGGATGGCCAGTTTTAAAGGGACTATACGCATGCTTCATGGAAACGACCAGTTCTGACCAGATGACAACCTCTGAGCTTGTCAGAAAGGAGGATATCAATAAGGACGGTGCTTCTTTTCTGCTGCCTGTGCTTAGGCTAATTCTTGTTTGGAAAGTCTTTTAGCTTTTTAAAAAGCAAGACGGTATCTAGGTAGGGATTGTTAGTGAAATGCAGGATGAATGGAAACCTGAGGACATTGATAGGCAACATAGTTTGTTTCCTTAATCAAAACAAGACCTAGGGCTCCTCAGGACCAGATTAGTGATAAAGATCTGTTGCAAGAGGAGTTTATCTTTTTAGTTGTGCTTGTACCAACCATAACATCATTACCAAAATAACAATATCAAAACAAAATATGCCCAAAGTACAGAAAAAGGGTAGTTGCATCAGTTTCTCACAGGTAAAGAGGTTTTCCAAGAAGCAAAGCTACATACCATTTTTAGACCTTGAAGAATAGAACCCAACATTGACTTGTTGTGTAGAGAAAAGTACTTATGCAAAAAATATGATATGATTCACAGGTCTTAGTTCTTGGAGGGGCCGGGAGTTCCTGAACAACTTAAAGCCATCAATCACATTAGTGACTCAGCCAATGGATTACTAGATGCCACCAAATGCCAAGATTTGCAGTCGCTTTCTAACATCTGCACTTGGCAAAGAGTTGCATGCTTTTAGTATTAATAAATATTTATATTGTAGTAGTTCTTTGAGGCTGGCCAGGTCCTAGAAACAAGAGTCTCATTCACTACAAATTCCGAATCTTTCTCTGAGCAGAATCTATGTTTGCATTGAATTAAATGAGACTTCTGCAGGAGGATCAGCGCATGGTCATGTTATTGATGGTATCTTAATGCATATTTAGTGGGCCCAGCTGAAGGTTATGTGGTCATTCTTTATTCTGTCATTTAATACTCTGAATGCTTGGTTTAGTCACCTCAGTGATTACTTTGATTATGCCCTGGCATTTTGCAAGTTGTAGATTCACTTGTCTTGTGCATGTGAAGAGCTCCTCTTTTGTAATTGTGTGATATGGGGGCTCTTCCCTTGCATTGGTCACCCTCATGCTTCTATACCAGCTTTCTTTACTCTGCCAGCAGGTCATTTACTTGGTGAGATGGAAGCTATGGACTGCTACTTCTGTCCTCGTTTCAAACTCATCCTTCAAAAGCTATTTTCAAATGTGCTTTAGCAGTTAGATTGGTGATTTGGTGCTTCTAAACAACAGCCAGAAAAAAGCTCCCCTTGGGTGATGGTGGATCTTTTCACCTGCTGCTGCAGTCAGCTCAAAACCTTGGATGTTAAAATCTCAACTGATGTATAATGGAGAAAGCATCACAGAGTTTCACTTTGACTGGAGAAGAACCAGTCCCTCAAAGTTTTGCAAGTGTTAGAAGATGCGCTTGAGCTTACTGGAATCATTCTTCACTTAAACAAAAAGTTTATGCTTTTTATTTATATGCTATATGCTTTTTTAAATATTAATGGTAATTTCAAACTTCACTTTAAAAAGAAAAGATAAAGAAATTGAGTCTGGGGGTGTGTGTGGGAAGCCAAAAATAACAACCTTCACCCGGCAAACTCTCACGAAACTTGATCTAGACTTTGAAGAGACCATAAAAATGGAGGGAGTTTGGACCAGGGAAACACACAGATTGGGTTACTTCTGTTTGTTGAAATTTCTTTACTTCAGAGCTTTAATAATGAAGAACTGAAACAGAGCCCCTTCCCCTCATTTGGTTTCTAGGGTGGGAGGTCACTTTGAAACTGCTTGTGTCTATGTGTGGTACTTCACCATTAAGCACTGTAAAAATAAGCAATAAACGTGTCGGAATGCTGGACCTTCCCCGTGCCTGCTTCTGTGGCATTTCTTTGCGCCCTGTTTCCCTTCTCATTTGTCTTTTTTTATTCCTGCGATCATGAGGGGGAAA